ATAAAATTTCCAGTGGGACAAAATTATATGGGCCCGTTTATTCGACAATAAAGAAAAAATGGGAAAAGGGTTATATAATAGTATGTGGGTACAAAATTGAATCACATAGCGTTCCAGGATGGAATCATTGGGATTCGTTACAATGACCATATTAAGAGACGAGAATAATAATAAGTGTGTAAATAGTACTAAATATGAAAAGCAATATATATAATAGATATTTGGTAGATGAATGGGTTTGTGTCAACTAAATTTATCCAAAAATTATTGCGTAAATCAGTGTATAAATCTATGTGACCATAGGGGGTCTTTAAAAGAGTTTGACTTATTAATTTGACTATGAATGTAAACGTATGTGATTAGTCAATTTAAATTATTACTCACAGTTACTGAATGTATAGAATTCGCATATTATTTATTGAAATAGCCTTATTTCATAAAATGCTTATTCACAGTGGTAATTACACATTATTTATTGAAAGTATAATAAAATTATGTTTTTTCTCAGTCAGAGAATTTAAAAGTGTAATATGATTTGGTATTTAAATTAATATAAATCGGTGATATCTTGTTGATTTACCCATGTGTTACTTGACATCATTTAATATACCAGTTATAAAAAAAAATTTTTATATAGTAATGTTGACTTTATAAGTTCGTTGATTAGAAAATTACAATTTTGCATTTTGGCACTTTTTATAGTATTTTGGTGAATTACGGATGTTAAATAACATTTGTTGAAAGAAATTGATTATTTTTTTTTGTAAAATGAAGTAAATTAATTAAATTAGGTCCTTTATATCATGCTACCATGCAAACCCCATCCCAGTTGGTTGAATTTAATAAATACTATGTATCTTTGACCGTGATCCCAAAGAATATCGGAAGGGAAATTCAACAATTTCAGAAATAAACAGTCAATAGTAAAAATAATTTTAAACTCTATTTAGCGGAATTTTAATAACAGAAAGGTCCGAATTTGCCCTGAGTGGATATTACCCTGGGTTCGATAGGTAGCCCATGAATCGGTTTCTGTTTGGTCTGTGTTCTCAAAATTTCCATCCAAGCAATTTTAAATTTCTGAACCCGAATTCGGATCCACCCTGTTTTATATATTTTTTTAAGCAATACCCCAGCTTGGCCCTATATCTTGAAAATAAATTGCGAAGCCCTTGCGCTAGCTCAATACAGGCCTACTTCGAGTTGAATTAAAGGCTTTGAAAGTAAGGGGATAATAAAATTCTGGGTTCAAATCTAGAAGACATGGTTTATTATATAGTGTCCTCCATTTTGTAGTTTATATAATATTTGCATAAAATATATATTAATTTAGCTTCCTGGTGCAAGTAGTTCTAACATTGCATCTAGTCTAGCTTTAGTTATATTTTATTTGAGAAATCATTAGGTATTTTATATTCATTAGATATTATAACTTTTAAATCTCTTATTATATCTATTTAAAAATATTGATTTATTTGGTTGTTCCTTTTTTCGACTCATGGCTTCCCTCTTTTTTTATGTTGTTTTTGATCCCTACAACCCAACGCTTACAGGTTTATGAATGGCAATAAAACTATTAACTATAGTTATATCTCTTGTATCAAATATTGAAAGAATTGTTGCAATAATAAATGTCATATAAAACTATTAATTACATTTTGTTTTTTCCTCTCTTGGTTCAAATATCTAGCGAATTATTGCAATAAAATATATTAAATGAGCGAATTCTATGTTTAATATATATTCATTTAAATTATTTCGTTCAAATAAATATTTTAAAACTAAACTAAGTGAGCCTTACAGATACTGACATTCTAAACTTTAAATTTCAACAAACTATTTAAAGCCATTTGAATTGTATTAATATTTAATCATGTGAATTATATGATATTCTATTTTTAAGCATTTGTGTCGTCAGAGGGGGGGTAGGGGGGCTCAAGCCTAATATAAACTTTGGAGTTCCTCCATCATGAGATGTTTTGAATTCTTATTTGCTAATTTAAAATGGAATTACTTTATTTTGCAAATTTTTTAAAATATTCAAAAATTGAGTCCCCGCATTGATAAAGTTAGCGATGCCATTGATACATACAGGGCATTTATGTGAAATCTCAATTTAATTGGAAGCAGGGTTGCCAGATGTCACGATATAACCATGATTCTCGCGATTTCATACCAAATTTTCTACTCAATCACGTTTTCTCACACTTCACGCTTTTCTCACGATTTTGGGAAACATTGGGAAAATATTAAAATAATCATACTTTTTCTCACGTTTTTAATTTTTTCAAGATATTTTTAAAGACAAATATAAAGTATTGGAAATTTTAATATCAAATATTTAAAAAAATTGTAGTATTTGTTAATAATCCAACCGATCATATTCATTGGTCAATATTTAATTTAACTAAGCCGTCTAATAATACTCCCCCATCTTTCATGAACAAATCTTGATTGAGTAGTGAGACATATTGAAGGGAGTATACATAAACCAAATTATATTCTTAAGTTTATTCAATCTAACCTTATTAGGGAGGACAGCACTTAGTATAACCTTAAATATAATAACAATGTTTATTCCAGAAAAATTATCTAACCAACCCCCCTGAAAAATTTGAAGAGCCCCCTCAAAATTTTGAATTTATTTATACCAAATCTAATTTTGATAATAAAAAAAGTTGGATAATAGCTAAAATAATTTTTAAAAATAATTTTGAGCCCCCTTAGAGTCCAAAGGTTAGTGACGTCCCTACTAACCTTATTAGAACAGCGCTCAAAAATCATATCTTTGGTAAGTATAATGAATTTTTTTTAAAAATGATTAAAAAAACTATAAGCTCTCTAAACAAAGATATTTGTGTTTTTATAAAATATTTTATAATATTCATTTTATGATGATCGTATATGATATAAGTTGTAGTACGAAGTAGAAGAGACCAGGGCTATTCAGCGCAAAGGGCTTGTCGGTTCAGCCTATTTTATTTTAAAACCAGTAATGTTTATAATTTATATTTTTGTATTTGTATCCATATTTGGGAAGAAAATAATATATATTTAGTATTTAAAATTTTAATTTTATGACATGTTTTTGACGGACGTGAAAATTACAATATTTTTTACTTTACATTATTGGGTTGTATTAAAAATAAATAAAAGTTTAAACATGGCAAAATAGACAATATATGAAATTTAAAACTATATTTTAATATTTAGGAAAGTTTCAGATTGCTATACAAGGCTTAAATATATGTTAAGATCATATTAGTAATATAGGAGTTAATAGAATCTTAGCTTGTCGGAGCTCGATCATTAAATTTTTATAAAATTATTATGGCATTCTTTTATATATAAAAATTCCAAATAGGAAAATTTTCACCATAAAGGATTACGGAGAAGCAATAAAATTGTATGAAAATGACAAGAAAAGTAATATCTATAAAAATATAATATTTTATAAATTTAATATATAACATGATTATTATTATTTGGATTCAATGCAGAGTATGTGAAGGTTGGGCTCATGGGTCCTGTGCCAAAAAAGGTTACTATTTTATTTGTTATAATTGTAAATAATATTATATAAATAAAGCATATATGAAAATATAATGAAAATTATTTTTGTGTCTCATAGGAAGCCTAATACCTCGATCCGACTAACGGGTCCTGTGCCAAAAAAGGTTACTATTTTATTTGTTATAATTGTAAATAATATTATATAAATAAAGCATATATGAAAATATAATGAAAATTATTTTTGTGTCTCATAGGAAGCCTAATACCTCGATCCGACTAACCATGGGTTTGGGGCTACTAGGTTCAAAAAATTACTTATACTAAACCTTATTTGGAGAAAGAATTATTAAATATTTAAAAATTATAGCAGTGTATATTTATAGGTAGGTGTCTAAGGTATCTATTAGTATCTTGTAATGTTGTTAAATGGCTCGTTTTGAGCCGATTTTTAAAAACGGCTAACTCAATATTTCATCTAGAATAATATTACGCAAGCCTGAAGATTTTGTTTGTAGAAGTAACAATGGTTTGGACATCTATTAGCGAAATCTCTAGGCTTAGGCAATATTTTTCTGCCTAAAATATTGAGTTAGCCGTTTTTAAAAATCGGCTCAAAACGAGCCGTTTAACAACAGTAGTATCTTGCAAGATCTTATATGATCTTCATTTTCAGAGTTATGTTGACAAAAATTGCCCCGACTAGCCCTGGTCTCCCTTGGGGTCTATGTAAAAACGAATACGAAAATAGTGCCTTATTTCTATTCGATTCGCTACGAAACAAATAATTTACTATCCATATTTGTAATAATAAAATCTAGTATTTGTATTGTATTTGAATTATTCAAATAATTTGTTTTCTGTGGAAAAAGAATTCATGCGAAAATAGAATTTCTTTTAAAACTTTTATTTTATTATCATGTTGTTTAAAATTCTCATCAATAAAATAGGCTGTTAGCCATAAAAAGGGAATCTGAGTTGAGCTGGCCCAAATATCAGATAAAAAAAATATATTATAAATATTTTTCGATATTTATTATGCATATGTAATTTAAGAATGCTGGAGGATATTAACTTAACTGATGAATCAAGATCATTTACATAATATTTAAGAGTTTATAGTCCTAAATGGTATATGATATTTATAAAAAGTTTTATTTAAAGTTCAAATTAAAAACAAACAAAAAGCTGATGATTTCGGATGAATAAAATAATTATTAAAAAAAAATTTTAAAACTTATTTAAATGATTGATAAGATTGTGCTCTTCCTTTACAGTTTAAATTGCTCTTGCAATGATTTCAACGTACAAGTAACCTTATCATTATCTATATTCATAATGTTTCAAAATGGCCCCTTTTTTGGGAGCATTTTTTTTAATCAATTATCAAGGTTAATGAATTCATCAGTCGTTGTCCCTAATTATACTAGATATTGTATAATTTATCGTTAAATTTATTTTAAAATGTATTCGTTTTTATTCGATTCGCTTTTAAATAAGCCTAGTGTAAACTGTGGAGTGCTATATAATATAAAATACATATTTATAATAAAAATTTATTGAATTAAAATGTAATCAAGAATATATCAAATAAATGTGTGAATATAAGCTTCGGGTTCTCAATAAAGGGCATTTTAGATATTACCACCGGAATTATATACTTTTCTTGGATATGTGTTAGTGTAATAAAATAATTTTCATTTGTTTTCTACACCTAACCATAGGGCCACTTCTTCTTTCTGAAATTGTCCATCTTTATTTTTGTCGCATAATTTTAGCAACAATCTATAAAATTTTTCAAATTCATTTGGGTTCTCGAGAGCCTCATTTTCCTAGCATTACAAATATATTTTTAGATATAAATAGTTATAATTATTATAAAAATATTATTAATGGCACTTAAGCATAATATTTAGTAACAATGCATACTTACTCAAGCTGTATTTTAAATCGGATATAACTTATTTCTAATAAAAACATCGTTCAGACTGGATAAGAGCCGGACTTTCAAAAAAAAATAGGGATGCAGGACTCTAAGAGTTATTATATTATTTTCAAATCAATAATCTTAGATATGCTATTCTATACTTTTAAGTTCTTACTTTTACAGCACACACAGTTAACATTAAGTTTAGTATTATAATAGAATATACATTGGTATTTTGTAGAATATCATGGGTAAAATTTAATAATTCGTTCCCAGAGATTGTCCCATCCATATCCTATTTAAATCAATATAATACTAATTAAATAATATATTTTTTGGTAATAAATACTTTATCGTAATTGTTAAACAAATTATTGAAGTCCCTGCAACTGAGCATAGATGTATTCTTACGTATTCATAAATAGAAGTATTATAAAAAGAAGTTTGGTTACTATTTTTTTTAAAGTATTAAATCTAACTTTTATTTTAATCAAATGGTTCTCATCCTTTAACAATAGTCTGTATATATATTAGAAATAAAAATAAGTCAAAAGATTAGCAATTAATAAATAAGTACCTTGATAGTTCCCCGAAGCTCAATGATCCATCTTGATCTTTGTCAAGTAAAATTATCTAAATATGCATTATAAAGGCGGTAAATTTTAAATAACAATTCCTTTAAATTGATAAAGCCTTCTCTTTAATTATCTAATTATATAAAACATTATAGGAAAATTCTTCTTGTATTTAAAAAAAGTGCGTAAAAAGATCTTAAAAAGAAAGAAAATCTACGAATAATACAGATTAAAAAAATTTTATATTAAATTATTAGATTTTTTTTAAAAAAAGGCGACTCTTCCCAGAGACGCTATGATTCATATGGGATTGGTGTTTAACCTTTTCTATTTTGAATTGTAAAAGCGCATTTCGTATTAATATTTTTCACTAAATCATATCTCAATCTTAGCGCTTGAGGATAAATTTCAGTTATTTTAATTGATTTCTTTACTTTAACCAATCCATCTTATTTTGGTACCACATTTTCTAAAGATGCCACACTATTGGACTAATTTTTTATGCTACCGGTACTAAATTATAAGAGTAGCAAAGCTACAGCCATCTAGTCTCATATTTAGAAATATGGTAAAAATTTGATTATTATAATGATGATAGTAATTGTTTTTAGATATTTTATTTATTAATTATAATTGCTTAGGTGCTTTTAGATTCTTCATTCCATCTTGATATTATATGAGCAATTTTCTCAATTTGCTAAACTTTTGTATTTATTTATACTGTTTGCCAAATGGATTAAATATTATTAAAATGTATATTCTTTAATCATTACAAATTGGCTTAAACTTCGCTTTTAAGAGTTTTATATTTATGCTTTACATATTAATATGAGTCAGATCCATAGCATATTTTCAAAACTAAGCTCGATTCAAAAATATTTTTGAATCGGGGAATAGGAAACTTTGATGTATTTAGACGTAATTGATTTTTGAATAGCAATCTAAAATACGAAATTTAAGTCAGTCGGCACCGTTATTTTTTATCTCACTTATAACTGGTTTTTGTTTATCGACCGGAAAAATCTATTGAAGATATTGACTCACCTAGATATTCAGGGCTTATATCCCTTGAAAACTATCCACCAAATGTGGTAAATCCCGATGATGTACTTAAAACCCACTAATTATTGAATAGATTTTAGAGTTAATGCTTCCGGAAGTTTGACGGCTTAAGGTGTCATATCAGTGGCGTAGCTAGGAATTTTCCTTAGAGGAGGTCCATACATATAAAAGCTTGGGGGGCTCCGTCCCCAGACCCCCTTTAACGGGCCTTCGGCCCTTTGCCCGGCCTTCGGCCGGGTTTATCTTACAAATCATAACCATATCTTCGATAATATATAATAAATATATTTTTTAAATGCATCAATAATTTGTTTTATAATTTAGTAGATTATTCTCAATGACTTTATAATAATACTATCCAGATAATTTCAATAGTAATAAAATATCCTTCCACAAACATCAAAAAGAAAAATATAAATATTATTGGTATTTATTTGATATAAAGTCACCACTTAAGTCTTTTGAACGTATAATCTAAAAATAAATTTTTTCTCTGGGAGGGGTCCAAACCAGAAAACCACCCCCGTAGCTACGCCACTGTGTCATATGATCATTTTTATCTGGCTTGTAATTCGGTTACCTTCTTTTGTGGCTGGCAAAATTAAAGAATTAACAAGTATACTAAATCTTTATTAAATAATATGATAAAAATATAATCAAACTAAATTAATTAAAAAAAATTAAAATAATATAAAAAAATTAAAATTAAAAATTATAATTAAGTTCGTAAAATCATGATCTCTCACTATACAAATATCCTCGAATATATATACTTTTCTATAATCATTTACATAATGTTTTACAAACAAACTGAAAAAAATCTTGAACTTTCTTTAATTTGAATATGCATTCGAAATTTAATTATTTTTTCTTGAGTAGATTTGAATATCCTTCGGCTTTGTAATTTGGTTTAAAAATTACAACATAAGACATTAAATTTTATATTTTCACAAACAAGATATTTAGAACTACTAAATATTAGCGAAATCCAGATGTTCTCCTATAATATCCATCTAGTATGATGCCAATTTTAGCATTTTTTTCTTGTTTTAAATAACTTTTTTTACTATTTACCAAAAGGTTTAAAAAAATATAATGCACAAACACTAAATTTCTATAAAATTTGAATAAATATTTTCAGTTGCTTTTTAATCTTAGGTTAGAGATTTTGTTATACTAACACTAAACATTGATAAAGTTTTATTAAATATTTTCAGTTGCTTTTAATCGTAGGTTAGCCAAGATTTTGTTATAAATAATTTTTACACTGGTTAAAGCATTCAAAACAAAGTATCAATCATTGGTATAGATATTAGAATTAATGCTTCCAATTGTCCAACTTTAACGGAGATATCATAAAGATAATGTATTTTAATACACCAAAAATAAATAACTAAGTGAAAATCAATAATATCAAATCATAATTTTTCATAGAAGAAATCCGGTTGAAGCCCGGGTAATTAAAGATTTGAATGAGAGGTTGAAGGCCTAATTTATTAAGATGATAATTTACTATTAATATTGTCCCCATAGCACCACTCTCTTATATAATTTAAATTATCCAGGACCAATAAAAATAATAGATGAAAGAAGAATGAAATGTGATATAAGCTTATAATTCGTTTTCGAAATTCGGTTTCATATTTGTTTTTTTTATTTATATAATTTATTTAAATAAATATTAAATCTAATAAACACTTACAAATTAATAATGATTAAAATATAAAGTAACGATAAACATATAAAGTAACACGTTACTTTAATTGATTACTTTTCATAATAGTAACACCATTTGCTTTTTCAGGAGGGGGGGGGGGCTAGCGACCTTATTTTTGTAATGCACTTCTCTTTCTTCTTAATAAAAATTAAAGTTCAGTTCTTTCATGACTAAGCTGGGTATGATATATATAATACAAACTTTACAAAATTATATCAATCTTTTATAGTTTTTTTGTAAATTGCAATTTTGAAAGTGTAATTTTAAAAAATGTAATGGCCATTTAAAAATAAAATGTGCTTGTCCAATATATTACTCCTATGCAAAAAATATATGCTATTACAATAAAAATTACATTCCCTTTAACAAGAATCACGATTTGTGAGCAGAGTAGCCATGTCTCCCTCCATCAGCGGGAGACTCCCGCAATTTTTTAGTTTACACGCAGACATCTCTCTCCCGCAAAACTACCGCAATTGGAAATCTCCCGCAAAAATCAATTTTTTAATTTCTCCCGCAATTTTTTTAAAATGTTTTTAACGTTTTTAATAAAAAATAATAAATTTGAGAGACAGTAATTGATTATTTTTATATTTTTAAAATAAATTTTAAATATTTATTCGAAAAACATGTCTAGTTTGCAAATTTCTTTCTATCCTGTTTTATTTTTATCCAATAATAAATCAACATCATTTCATTCATCAGTACAAAGGAGTGTATCAATATCGATTGCAATACAAAAATATTCTTCAAAAATAATAAATAATACATATGCAATTACAGTTGCGGAAATCGTATACACCTATCATGTAGTTCAACATTCACAGAGCTATATCATCACAATGTGGGTCGAATCTTTTTCCCATGATATTTAACGACTCAAATATAAGTACAAACCTAACAAAAATGAGCAAGGCTATCACAAGTGTTTTAGTACCTGAATCCTAGAGGTCAATTCTAGACGATTTGAAAGAGACAGATGCATCTAATAAGGGAATGATCTTTCGCTATTTCAACAAGAATAAGAACATTTCAATAAAACTGTTAAATTTTTTTCCTCGGATAGTGAAAAATCCAACGATGTAGCTAACCACATAATGTAAATAAGCTGATTCAGGGTTATCAATGAATTGCATGTCAGCTTTCTGCGCTGATAATGCCTCTGTAAATTTTGGCAAAAACCAAAGTGTATTAACCGAATTGAGGCCGCACAATAATGAATTAATACCAATTGACTGTATATGCCATATACTACATGATTCTTGCAAGAAGGCAATGAATGTACTATCTGTGGATGTCGACATAATTATGATGAGATGTTTTAACGAATTTAATTCATCAACTATTATAGTTTATGAATTAAAAGAGTTGGTAGAGTGGTCTGACTTGGAATGGTATGAGTTGTTGCGATATGTACCTATCAGGTGCTTATCGTTAATACCTGCCATAGATAGAATTTTAAAATTTTACAAACCCTTATAAAAATACTTTTTAAATAAAGATTTTAAAAGCTGTCCTAAAATTTTGAAAAATTTTTTCAAGTATGAAATAGCAGAAGCATATTTGGGATTAGTTTCACATGTAGGAAATCTACTTCATGAAGTTAATATTCAGTTGCAATCAGAATATTTTTTATTAATAAAGATTCACAAAATCATGCTACAGCTCTGTTCATCTCTACAGTTAAAAATTGATAATAAATATTATGACGCTTTTGTTAAAAATATTAAATGTTCAAATAATACTCTAATTATTACATTTTTAAATGAAGCAGATATTTTTAATAAGACAATTTTAGAATATTTACGATTAAAATTTGATTTTAATAACTCTATTTACAAATGTATAAATATGATGACCTTGGAACAGAAACCGTCAATTGATGGTTTTTGTAATTTTATAAATATATTAAAAATACCGAAAGACTGATGTCTTGTTGAGGAGATTGTAATTCTCTCTATTTTTTATGATTCGCCAGAATACTTAAAGTTAGATTGTCTAAAAGCATAGGAGAAACGTGTAGAATTTTTTCGTAATAACAATAAATCCCCATGCTTGGGAAAAAATTGCGAGTATGTCTTCTTTACCTCATTCTAATGCCTCATCCGAGCGCATTTTTAGCCTGATGAGGACTGCCTGGGAAAAGGATTGCTTTAACAACATTAGATGCCAGGAATTTTATAAATATCTCAATAACGACGGTAAACGTGTAGTTCCATTATTTAAATCTCAAATAATATATAATTAATATTATATTTAATTTTCCATATTTTTTATTTATACATTCGCATAAAATAAATATATTTTTTACATTGTAATCAAAAATTTACAATATCCTCAAACAAGACATCAATGTCGATCGGTATTTTTAAAATATTTGAACATTTTAATATAGTTTTAGCAATGGCGCCATAAAATTTATTGTAAATTTTTAACTGTAAAGATTAACACATCTGCAGCATAATTTTGTGAATCTTTGTTAATTCTGATTGCAACTGCACATTAACAGTATGTAGTAGATTTCTTACATGTGAAATCATTCCTAAATATACCTCTGCCATTCATTACTGAAAAAAATTTCCAAAATGTTAGGACAGCTTTTATAATCTTTATTTAAGAAATATTTAAAGGTTTATAAAATTTTAAAGGTTTATAAAATTTTAAATTCTATAGATGGCGGGTATTAGGAACATATCGCAACCATCATTGTGCTGACTCAATTCTGTAAAACACTCTGGTTTTTTCCAAATTCACTGAGGCATTATCAGATCATAAAGTTGACATGTAATTTATTGATAATTTCGAATCTGCTATATTTACCATTATATGGTTAGCTATGTCTTTAGATTTTTCACTATTTGAGGGGGAAAAAATTTAATAGTTTTCTTGAAACGTCCTTAATTTTGTTGAAATAGCGAAGGATCAAAAAAAATATTTTAATATTACCCTTATTAGATGCATCTGTTAGAATTGCATATGTATTTCCATCTTTCAAATCATCAAGAATTGACCTCATGAATTCAGGTTCTAAAACATTGATGATATCCTTGCTCATTTTTTTTCTACAAGTAAAGTTTTCATTTATCTTGAAGTCGTTAAATATTATGGGGAAAGATTCTACCTACATTGTAATGATAAGTAGCTCTGTGAATGTTGTACTACAAGATAAGTAATACAATTGCTGCAACCGTAGTTGCATCTGTATTATTTCTTATTTTTGGTGAATATTTTTGTTTTGCAATGCATGTAGATACACTCTCCTGCACTGATTATGATAATGTGATTGAACAATAATAAATAAAATAATTATCATTGAAATGAGTACAATATTACCTTATTATATATTTAAACGTGATACGTGATAATTTAGCCCCTTCCAATTGCGATGTTTCGCGGGACATTCGTATAAAATATATTTTTTACATTGCAAAATTAAAATCGTTTGTTTTTTTATAAAATTTTATCTTGTTTAATTCTTTTTTATAAATTAATATATTAAAATAAATCAAGAGTTATTTTATTTTGAAAAATAGTTACCGAATTTGTATTTACATAAATAATTATATAAAATAATAGGCAGATAATTAAGTCAATTTAAAATCCCGGCACGGCCGGAATTTTGCGGGCCTTTTTAGCAAATTTTTTATTTCTACCGCAATTTTCATATTTCTCCCGCAAAATACCAAATTTCTCCCGCAATTCGAAAATTTTGACTTGGCAACCCTGTTTGTGAGTTATGACCTAGAAAATCAAATTTGAAAAAAACTTTTTTCCATGTTAAATCAAAATCTTCTTGTTTTAAGGATTTAACTAGCATAGTAATAAAAATTAGTTGATTCCTTATAGATTTTACAAGTGAGAAAAATAAATTCAGGTATAAAATTCTTTAAATGAATTTTTACGAATAGCTTAGCATATTCTTCAATCTTTCCTATTAGAATGTTGTCATTGTTATTTATCTGATAAAGATCTAACAAAAATCCCTAAAATATTTATAAATTAGTAAAAATAGTATTTTAAACATTCAACCTGAATTTCGTTTAATGACATCGTATTTTTATAACCGGCATGTTTTATCCAAATCTAATTTAGTATAATGTTATAATTCAAACAAAACAATATTTTGAACTTTTGGTAAAAAAAACCACATAAAACATAAAATAAAAGATGGCCTTCGATTTCGAAAACGGTGTGTTAATATCTTAATATAAACTCTTAATCCCTTCCTAAACGTCAGGGTTGTGAATATTACTAGAGGTCTGCAATGGGTGAGTTTTAGTTTTTTTAAATTCTAAACATTAGGCAGCTGAAAGGGCGGGTTAAAAAATATTAGGCAGCTGAGTGGGCAGGTTAAAAAATATTTTTGAAATAATGAATGGGCGATTTTAAATATTTTTCTGGCAAAATGAGCAGAACAGACTTTTATTTATTAAAAATCATTATTATTTATTTCACTATTGCATTTTTTATAAGTTTAAGTAATAAAAATATATAAAAATAAAATAAATCTTAACCAACCATTAAAATATAAACATTAGGCGAGCGGGTGGGTGAATTTAAAAAAGTCATAGGGGGCGGGGTTCGAGTTAAAACCCGCCCGATGCAAATTACCTTAATATAATTGCTAAATTATTGGAATTATATATCAGTTTGAACTAATTACTTGCTCAAATAAAACTCTTAATCATTCAAATATTTTATTTGCTCTATAATTAGTTGACCATTAGAGTATCATATCATTTTTGCAAATTTTTTTTAAAAAAAATTAAATTCCATCAATTATTATTGCATTGTTTTTATAGTATTGATTTATTAAAATAAAACTTTCATAAAATCGTATCCGTTGAGGGATGATTCGTTTCTGCGAAATATCGATAAGAAATTTTCCTCGGATATTATAATTTCGGCCATCTATCATTTTAAGAAATTTATAAAGAAAATTTTACATATTAATATGATTACAAAAATATACCTCGCACAATTCAATTTTACTGTTATTGTTAGAGTCGTATTGTCGCAAAAACTCTTCTCTTAAATTTTGAAAATCACTCTTGGAAGTTTTCTTTAAAAATGAAAAGATTAGTTTTGAATGATAAAATACCATGTTTTGGAGGTGGTCAATTTTTTTCTTTATCAAATAGAGAATATTTTAGGCACGTTTATATTGAATCACTTTTGACCCCCTAGCGAAAGCCAGTATGGTTAAATCTAAACCTGTGAATCCAAAGAGGATTCAGGACTTTTAGATTCTATTTAGCAAAATGTTGATAACAGAAATTTAATAATGACTGATTTTCTGAAAGGGGTCCGAACCCGCTCGGTCTGAAAATATCCCGGGTTTAGTAAATTGTCCAACCAGTCTCTGTTTGGCCTATGTTATCAAAATCAAACAGTTTCAAATTTCTGAACCCTAGTTTGAGTCCACAGCAAAGGTCAAAATATTAATTATTTTATTTTAGATTCTCCTATCCTATAAGAATAAAAACAACAATCAATCTAAAAGTGGCTTGCAAAAATATATTTATTATCATCTAAATACTTGTTCCTTAAGGACGCTGTCCAAAATATTGAGCAAAAAACTATTAATTTGTTCACCTTCCAAAAATCCATTATCTGTTTCAAAATACAAAAATAATATCCAAATGATTTATTTTATTACTATTTTAAATAATAAAAAAAAATGATTTATTTGACAGGAGATAGCTTTTACAATTTGAAATACATAGTTATAGAATATTTATAAGTATTAAAAGCATTTTAGAGTTTATTTATTAGTTTATATACTTAATATAATTAAAAACTTAAACCCAGGAAAACAAGGGCTTCACTGGGCTTTTCAGTTGACCAGGTTCAAGAGGGGCTCACTTTTTTTAAAAAATTCTATAATTATATATAATTAGAGTTAAAAAGCCTGTCAATTAACCATTCAGTCAATTGACCGAAAATATATTTGATCGAAAGTATAATTGATCGAAAACATATTCAAAAGTATAATTGATCGAAAGTATATACTTGACAGGTCAGATCGGCTTAAGCCGAATACTCCTAATTTTAATTAATTTATAACTTGCTCCTATCCTAAACATATATAATTATATCATTAAATTATTTTTCTGGCATCCCCTCCTTTATGCACTGGTAGAATTTCCTTCTAAAAATTAAAAATAATCAAATACTCTAAAATTTTATATCATATAAATATTATGTTTTTCTTATTAACCTGTTTAACAAATTAATTTATTTCTTGGAATTTTTGGGAAATATAATTTATAAATGATATTTTTAGATAGGAATTCGGAGTATTTTATTTTTAAATTAATATGTCGAAGTCGATATTTTATTTTTGAAATTATTAATAATTTCCAAGAAGTTTTTAGTAATATATTAGAAAATATATGAAATATCAAATTGGGAGATTTTAAATGAGGTTTTTCACAATTGCCTTCTAAAATGATAGGCCAAACATTTTTTCAATCAGCTGAAAAATATTAATGATTTCATTTAACATAAATTTACTCCTCATATTCTCAATTCCCGTTCAAAAAAAATAGTTATCCTTAAATTTATCTGAGCTTTGTAAAAATAATCTATTGTAATCGTTTTCTCGTGGTTATCACTCCACATATTATGATAACATTATCTTTCCAAGAATGTCACAAATCTATTTGACTACTTTTTATGCTATCGTTGCTAAATTATAGAAGTATCAAAGCTACCACTTAATTTATCGAGTCTTATATATTAAAATTGACCTATTTAATAGCTCGGAATTAAAATTGAAATGGACAAAATTACTAGACTTTGAGAATAAATTCTTAGAAAAAATACTGAATGTCCGGAATTATTTTTGGATGATCAGATATAAAACAACTAATACTCAGATTCTTAGTACTATTGATTTTAAGACAATAGTCACTATTAGCAAATCGCGGTATTACTTTTGCTTCCCGATATTGATGTCACGTTAATAAATTCGTTATATATGATTCGTAAAATAGTTTATGTTCTTCGCTATAAAATCTTTGCTGTTACCTATTCACGATAAAAGTTTATCTGTTATATTAGCTCTAAAGAGTTCGCAGTGAGTTTTGCTGTAAAAAAATTGCGATATAGTTTTCACGTAGTATTCGCTAATGTGGATTCGCGACTGTTTCGATATAGAATCAATTCGCTATAATATCGCTATAAAAGTTTTGCGAAAATGTTTTTCTTAAAAGTGTTTAAATGATTTGTTAAATTTAAAACTAGATTGAATTTGAAAAAATTTTAAAAATCTTTGTGCAAATATTTTTTAAAAAAGAATTGTGATTTCAGTTTGAAAGATTTTTTATGCATAAAAATTACAAAAGATTTACTTATATATAAAAGATCTTTTAAAAAATATATTTAATTTTTAGATAATTTGATGAAATCCTTCTTCTTTAACTCTGCACTACTAATCCTACGAACGAGTCACTTTTTACTAATCTATAGTAAAATTTATGACGATATAAAATTTTGAATAATTTTAGAACCAATTGAGCCTTCGACAAATTTTTATTGTAAAATAATCATATAACATCATTGAGTACAAATATGTTCATGTAGAATAAAATTTAATTATAAAAATAGCATTCATGCCAGGGTGCTTGATGCATCTAACAGATGCGTTTTTTGCAGTGTACGTAGATTGCTGTCATCATACGCCTCAATTTTGATGAACAAAACTTGCAAATAGTAAAAATAGACTCGGTAAGATTCTCCCTTTCCTCCGATAGATTTTTACCTGGATATTTCTGATATAATCTTATAGAGGATCTCAAAGTGATATAAAAAATAATTATGTTTTGACTTATCATTCCCTAATTTTTACCAACAAAGTGCTCTATTCCTAATTCAGATAATGATGATAAAAAAAAATTTTCATGAGAAAATATTTTTTTAATAAAAATAAATAATAGGTAAAAAAAAATTATTATTTGCAAGAGCGCCTAAATATACAAATTTTGACATTTACCACACCATCAATATTTACAAATATGTAGTATTCCAGGGTTAAGAAAAATCTTCAAGGATTACCCTCAAAAAATTTTTGAAATTTAAAACAATAAATATTTTATAATTTCAAAATAATTTTTTGACCAAAATATCCATTAAAGATCTGTAAATTCAGGCCCTCAATATCCCGCCTCCGGCCCGAACGGGCTCAAGCCCTATTTTTTAAAAATAATTTTGGTTCGGGTTGGATCGGGCATAATATTTCTTTAAAAAATTCTGGCCGGACTGAGCCTATATTCTTAAATATGATATGATATCATTAATTTTTGTAAAGTAATAAATATTTTTAAAATCGCTTGAGGGTGCTAATATTTTTCATTTATAGTATTTATTTTTAGAATTAAAAAAATTAAATTTTACTTTGTTCAAATAAATTCAGGCCGGGCGGACTAATTTTTATTCGGATCGGGAATTTCGAGACAAATAAAATAAATTCATTCAGAATCAGGGTGGACAAATTTTTTTAAAAAAATTTGTAGTAAGCCGGGCTTGAAAATACGCCCGATGCAGATATTTTTTGGCGGGGGTGGTATTTTATTTTTTTTTCGGGGAATTATTTTCTGGGATTTTTTTTCCAGGGGAAATATTTCCTCCAGCCGTCTTATTAGTGGTAAAATTTAAATAAAAATGCTAATTATATATCATAAGAAATTAAATTATTTTAACTATTAATATTGAACTGTAAAATTAAAATATTTTAAAGATTCTCATCAGTCAAATTATTTTTATAATGAAAACGAATAAGATTTATACATAAGAATAGTGATACAAAATTGCTTCATTTGAGCCGATTTTTGAAAACGGCTAACTCATTATTTTATCAAAAAAAATATTTCGCAAGTTTAAGGATTTTTGTCATAGATGGCACAAAGGTTTGTACATCTATTAGCGAAATCTCGAAGCCTAGGCAATATTTTTCTGGGTAAAATATTTGAGTTAGCCATTTTTAAAAATCGTCTCAAATGGAGCTATTGTGCATCACTACGTGAGAATACTTCTATACTCTAACTTTAATAGCTAGCACCGCCAAGCAACATAAAAAAGAATCTTATAATTTATTGATATGTATCAATAAAATTAGATTGATAACTTCAAAACATTTAAAATATCAATAGGTTCAAACCGCTTCACAGACCGACTAAAGGAATTCAGTTCAGGTTCGGATGACAAAAATTTTACCGGTTCATCAGTTTGATGAATAACGGTTAAGATAAGTTTAACAGCTCGTTTCAGGTTTGGTTTGGATCCCTTGTAAAAACTCTTCCTTTTTACAATATTTAGTTGTTCAAAAAACGCTTTTCTCAAACCAGAAGAATTTCTAAGCGGGCTAAATTTAAGAATCTGCTGGTATTCAAATTTAAAAAATGATATTTTTACAATACTTTTGTTTTAAAACATTTAATATTCCATAATATTGTGGAATTTTTTTAAAAATATTTATTTTCCACTTTTATAAATTCTAACCCGCTTGCCTTTCTTAACTATCATTTTGTAAATTATACATCTTTTTATATCAATTTATAAATGATATTTGTAATATATATTTATTACTATCTTTATCATAGTTTTTCCAACATTGCGTAAATTCGGCCGCAGTTAAAGAATTACATAGACTTCTGAGCTTACCAATCAATATTGGGTTTATATTTGATCTTTTATAAAACGTTTTTTTGAAAGGACGAAATATAAAATTTTTGTTGAATTTAGATTTTGAAATATGATCCATTTTAAAAAAAATCGAAATTGATTTATCCTATTTTAAAATAAATTATATTTGGTAAAATTCGATGATATAAAAACACAAAAAAAAATTCATCTACTAGTTGTAATGAGTATTGATTATTTTTTGTAATTTTCAATACCAAAAAAAAGTGATATCTAGTGAATTTTAATTATTATTTACGTAATATGTCTCACATTTGTAAACAAAATAAAGTAAGGAAAAGTGTTAGCACGGGAATACGTATATATGCCTAAAACGAACAAATCCATTATTAATGGTTTCTTTTTACGATAGTAAAAATGTGAAACGTGTCAAAAATTTAAGGATGCCAAATATAGAAAAATATAAAAAATTTTTTTTAATAGATTATAATTATAGAATGGTTAATGTATATTATATGTTAATTGTGGCTTGTCATCGATTGATGACGTAGATCAGTAGCGTAACTAGGAGGGGATTACTCAGGGGCTTGAGTCCCCTGAAATATTTGAAGAGCCCCGTCAAAAAATTTTTTTATGCCACTAAAAAAAGAAGGTAATTTTGGATAATGTGAGCTAAAAAAAAAGGTAATTTTGGATTATGTTAGTTAAAATAAAAAAATAAATGTTGAAAATAATTTGAAACTTTTTTTTGAGCCTCCTGATTGTAAAGGCTAGTGACGCCCCTGACGTTGATAGTCTATTTTGAACGATATAATGGAGTGATATGTTTCTTAGATTTTATGGTTTAATTATTTTTTTAAAAAACTATTGGAATAGCGATTAGTAGAATATAAGGCCTCATTTATAGTGAACGCGTTATGTTCAAGCGTTGCGTTATTCAACGCAGTCTTATTACAAAATTAAGCCATCAAATAGGTGTAAATTTATAAATATGAAGCATTTTAATGATGACGCTATGAAACTTGAAAAACATATGTTGCGATGCGTTGATAAAAAATATTCGATACGATTATAAAATAACTAACTAATAACCCATCAAGAATGACGGATTTGAGGGGTAATTAGCTTGTTTATATGGTACTAAATATATTTTATTAATATATTTTAAAAAAATATTAAAATTTAGGAGAAAAAGAGGTAAAGATATTCCTAATTTAAAGTATGTATTGATGATCCGTCCTTCTTGATAGGCAAAATGAAAAATATATGACTAAGAGTACCAGAGCTCCCACTAGTCAGCATTATTGAACCCGTCAAAATGACGGGGAATGAGAATTTTCTCCTTTCTCTTATGATAGTTGTTACCTGTTATTTGAAAATAATATCCAATTTTTATTCTTTATAATCCCCTCCCCCCTTCAGGCCAGGTCCAATCCATTAAAACTAAGTGTAAATGCTATGTTTTGAGCCAAAATATATTTAAAGCTTTTACTTGATACCCATATCAATATTATTTGTTAAAATATTACTAATCATCTATGCCTATTATTTAATATTGAAAAAATTCACAAGCAAGGTCCAAGTCCATAATAATTTTGAAAAAAATATCATAGTAATTTTGGTAATTGAGAACTGGAATAAAATATGGGCTTTGGTTTTTTGATCAGGCCGAGCCCAGGCCTGCAAAAAAATTTGTTTTAGGTCAATGTCTGATCCATAGTTAATAATAAAAAAATTCCCAACCGTCCAAGCTGATAATAATTTGAAAAATTTTCCCCAAGCCCAGCCCAATATAATTTATAAAAATATTTTCCAAGCCCAGCCCGACGCATTATAAATTTAAAAAATTTTTCTCAAACCTGGCCAACCGATAATAATAAAAAAAAATTTTCAGCTTCCAATAAAAAATATTTTCCAAGCCCAACCCGACCCATTATAATTTTAAAAAAATTTTCTCCTGATCAACCTATAATAATTTTGGAATTGTTTTCAAGCCTGTTCCAATATAATAGATAAATATTGATATATTTAAATTACTTTATCATATTCATATATAAGAATAATTATATTACAAAATTTAATATAGAGGGGGGGGGGTGACTGGAAAGAGCTTTTGACTAACGAACGTTAAGTCATTGGTTCGAATCTCGTTGATGTAATTTCTTGAATACGGCGAAATTATTATATTTATTTATATATTGAGATCCGATCAAATTATTAATGAAAAATTCTTTTTTTATTTTTAATTTTAGAGTAAATTCTAATTTTATAAGAAAATCTTATATTTGAATATAAAATTATAATTAAATAGGGGGGGGGGGGTGTATAAAGAGAGTCGCCATCATCGAAGGCGGCAATAACCGGCACAATAACATCATTTTTTATGAAATACGCTTGAAATTATTACATTTAATAAATGCTAATTGATTTTTTTTAAGAAAAGAAAAAAATTATTAAAAATAAAATATATACTAATATTTATAGCCAGGGGTATATCCAATGGGAGGGGTAGGGGAAAAGAAGAAGAGACCCCCCCCCCTCATAGCATTGAAAAAATATAAAAGGACTCAGGCGCGTGGAAAAAGGGAGAAATCTCGAAATATAAAAGAGCTTTATGAATTGTTATTTACAAAGTATTACACATAAAAGGTTATATTATATTTTAAATATTAGTAAATAATTTAAATATTTATTTCATATATATTAATATTTTATCTCACGAAATTTAAAATTATTTTCTTATATTTTTTAAACGTTTAACATTGATGAATATAATAAAATTTTATCAACCAAAAATAATTCTATTTTATTTATTTCTACTAATATAGAAAATTTCAAGAGTGTTGAAATGTTCAGATATATCAAATAGACAAAATTTACTGAATATAATTATTTTCTGAGACTTCTTATGATGCAGGAAAAAAAACTGCAAAACGCCTGCACGACATAATGAAGTCTTCAACATCAAGCTGTTACAATATTTTTTGGATCTAGAAGAATCTATTCTTTATGTCTTTGAAAAAATATTAGTATCACCCGTAACACATATTTCATCTTACGCAGATACATTATTATATATAATATGATTGCCGATTTTTTTTATTGAAATGTATTAAAAAATTATTTCACAACAATTTTATGCAATATTTTTATGAGAATCGCGAATATTATTATATTACAACTTTGAAGACCAAAAGATAATATCGATCAGAATTTTCTCGAGATTTATGTAAATGTTGAGGTGAAAGCGAAATTATATTATTATGATTTTGAGATTCACAAGCCTCGACTTTACCGACAAAATCGTTCTGATATTAACGTGGACTCAATTGAGGATCATTATAATATAAGCGTTTTTATTTTACTTATGGATTATTGACTCAATTTAATGACCGATTTGTGATGACTCTATCCAATTTACAAATACTATATCTTATATTTCACCCTGATCTCCGAATATATCAAATCTTGATATTGAAAAATTAAATATTTAACTAAAACATTCTGATGTTTATAATTTTGTAAAAATACTACTATTAAATTAAAATCATAATGATGTATTTGGTTTATAATTTGTTATATTTGTAACAATAAAATTATTAATTAAAGATAAAAATAAAAATAAAATATATCTTTATAAAGATCAATATAAAATATATCAATAATTAAAGATAAATATAGAATATGCCAGTAATTAAAGATAATATAAAATATGTCCTTAATACTACTAATTATCCAAAGTTTCATTAAATATTATGATTATCAAAAAAAAGGTGCAAAAGTAAAAATCGGTGGCGTAGCTAAGAATTTTCCTCAGAGGGGGCCCATACATATAAAATCCTAGGGGGCTTCGCCCCCCCCAGACCCCTCTTTAACGGGCCTTCGATCCTTTGGCCGAAGGCCGGGTTTATCTTAAAAATCATATTTGTTTTTCTTATAATTTAAAAGTCCTAGAATTATTGATCATTTTAATTAGTATTGTTAAACGGCTCGATTTGAGCCGATTTTTGTAAACAGCTAACTCAATATTTTAGCCAAAAATATATTGATCAAGCCTAGAGATTTCACGAATAATGTCTAAACCTTTGTAACATCCATGAATAATACTATCCAGAATAATTTCAATAGTTATCCTTCCACAAACATCAAAATCAGAAAAATATAAATATTCATGGTAAAAAAAATTTGTTCTGGGTGGGGGGGGTCCAAACCACCTCCCCCCTTCCCGTATCTACGCCACTGAAGTAGTTTTTTATTTTTCATTGTTATTTATATTACCGCAGAATTATATAACAAACTCAAATTTATCTTACGAATTTTTATTTTATACTTTTGTAATTAATGTTTAAGAAAATCATTTGGGTAATATTTTATTAATTAATGTATAAAAATTAAACACCTTTCTAACAACAGAATAGAAGGGCAAATGTCATACCTTCATTTACATTTATAGCACACTCTTTGAGCTTTATTTTTTGAAAATTACATTAATTCTAGTTAATCCTTTAACATTAAAATGTTTCGGATGTCATATAAGGATTTATATCAAATAATTTACATCAGCGCTTTATGCCTAATTTATCAAATAATACAATAAATAAATCTTTTTATATTAATAATTTTTTCATGGTGTCATATATAATCATGCTTTTATAATCCTTAACTTAATTTTTACCTATATTTATATTAAGGGGTATATATTTTTTGAAAGCAGTAACTAAGTCATGTAATATACTTTTGTGCAATTCAAATTTTTATAATCTATAAAGTTTATGGATCAATAATATTATATATTGCACAAAGTAATACATATAGTTATATAATTATCATAAAATAAAATATAAGCTTAAGGTGATTGTATCATTTTTCTTTAAAATATTAAATATTTACTTTCAATTAATATCCCTTTTACATCTTAAATAACTTAAGTCTGTTTTTATTATCAATGATTGTTCAAAGAAAGTTAAGATAGTACAGTTTCAATAGTTATAAACGCATTTCATATATAATCTAATCTTAATCTTATATCATTATTACATATAAAATAGCATTATGTCATGTAAAATTCTTGTGGAATTTTTATTTGAAAGCAGTTTTTATATTCTTCTATTATCAAAATAG